GAGAGAGAGAGAGAGAGCAATATAGAAACGGCATAGAGATTTTGGCTCAGGTTGGAGAGGGCAAGGACTTACCTAGTATGGAACCAGCACACGACAAGATCTATGGCTTTGTAAAATTGGCACCACAAGTGGTCTAGCTCTAGGCCTGCATGTTTTTATAATAATGCTATACTTATGAATCTACATCATTCGGGTAACAAGTAGGCTCAATTATGACTAAGACTCTGATTACAAAAAAGGAAAGAATCAACTAAGACTCCAAGCAGCATAAAAGAAGCCCCAAAGCAATTAAGACTCTAAACATCATGAGAAAACCCAAAGCAACCAAAATAGATCCGACTTTGAATTGCTAACTAAAATTTAAACGTAAAATCCATCACTAAATTCGTCATCAGCTTTTTTTATCATGGTTGATACTTGAAATATGTATATAATGAAGTTTTATATGAATAAAAATCATATTGCTTGAAAAGATCTATGAAATGAGCTTTGAATCACCCTAGACAGACATCCGTGCAGAAGCAGCCTGCATCAGAATATGCTTAGAGTATCTTCTACCTCATCATAATCCCTAGATTGAAGTTAACAAACGTTTCCCAAATATTGGACGAAGTTCTCCTCAAAATGGGCTTCAGGGAACAATGCAGGCTATGGATGAAAGGCTGCATTTCATCCTCCTTTTTCTCCATTCTCATCAACAAGGTCCCCCAGGGTTTACTTCCATCCTCTTGGGACCCTCTCTCCCCAATTTTGTTGGCTATTGTAGGAGAAGTCTACTTGATCAATCTCTAGGGTTTTCCTAAAGGGTCTTCCTAAGGGTTCGAATCTTCTAAAAGTGGTTCTGAAATCACCCATCTGACATGTTGGTCTTCTACAATGCAACCACCCAACAAGCACTTGCTATTGCTCTTCCTAAAGTGCCCAAATAAAAATCAACATGTCCAATTACAAGCTAATGGGTATCGAGGTGGAACATGAAATTGTTTCTAACGTGGCCAAGAGGCTAGATTGTCAGGTTGACTTCCTCCTCTCCAACTACGTTGGTCTACCCCTCTGCCTATGCAACCCACGCAAGTAGCTATGGGATTCCATCGTTGAGAAATTCGAATGAAGAATGGCAGACTGGAAGCATAGGTTCCAAACCTTCGGAGGGCCATCACCCTAATCAAAGCGATCTTATCAAACGTTGCAATGATCCAAATGTCGTTGTTTTGTATGCCATCCTCCATTAGCACCGCACTGGACCACCTGATGAAGGACTTCCTCAGGTCCGGGTAAGGTGGTCCATACAAATTTCATCTGGTCCCTTGGGAAAGAAGCTGTGCAAGCAAAAAAAATATTGGGACCTACATATTCGAATTCTCAGGAACTGCAATATCACTCTCTTGGAAAAGAAGTGATGGCCATTTTCCACTCAATAGGGTTAGTTGTTGAAACCCGTCATCTGTCACAAATATGGGCTCAATGATTTAGGATGGCACCCCAAGGGACCTACCAATGCTGGGTGCAGAAAAGTCTAATGGCGATCCACCATAAATTCAAGGAGCATGTGTGCTAGTTATGAAAGGAGACAAGGTTAGTTATGGAAAAATATGTGGATTGGCAAAAGTAAATTGGTTGAGCTCTTCTACAATCTTTTTTGGGTGGCTTCTAATGACATGGCGGCCCAATCTTATGAAGCAATAGGGGGGGCACAGAGTGGAACTCTACTTTCAGAAGACCAATGTGTGACTTTGAGATCCATGAACTTGCAGCACTTCTAGACCTACCCCAATCAATTTTCCTGCCCCATGTGGGACTAAACAAGGTGGCGTGGTTGCCGACAAAGTCTGGCAGTTTCTCAGTAGAAGGATATTTCATCCTTCTACCACATCCTTCCTGCAGCCTGCCTCACAAGTCCATGGCAACCAGTGTCCATCTTCCCACCGAAAGTCCAGGCGCTAAACTGGATTGTGCTTTCCAATAGAGCACTCATCGTTCACCGGCTTCAAAGTAGAGGTATCCAACTCTAAAACTGCTGCATTATGTGCAAAAACCTCATACAAAGACAGTGACCACTTGTTTCTCGACTGCCCAGCAGGCTAGCTTGTTCTCATAGAGGGCTTCAGTCCTGGCCATTGTCTGGTTCGTTTGGCTTGAGAGGAATTGCCCCCTCTTTGAAGGAAGGAAGCTAACATTCATGCTATCAAAGACCGCACATAACTCTAGCCATTTTTGGGCAAAGGGATGCAAACATTTAAAGGCCCGCCTACTCTCACAACCAACTGGCAGGCTAAACTATCTTTTAAACCAACGTCAGTCTCCAAATCTAGCCCTTGGAGACCACACGACCAAGGGTCCGTCAAGCTCAACATAGATGTCACCTCAGCAATCCGATCCTTGCGGGCCTCAGGGGCATCTTAAGGGATGCAAGGGCCTTACCCTGCTGTCTTTCTCAGGGCATATAGGCATCGTTGACTCTACAATGGCCGAGACAGTTGCTCTTCTTAAAGGGTTGAAGAGGTTCACCCAACTTCGTGAGACCTCATATAGTGAAAGGGGATGCAAAAAATGTATCTTTTGGGCTTCTAGACTCTGTGTCTGTGGAGACTCGACTTTTTATTTGACAGCATTCTTTATCTCTACAGGCCTCTACAAGTTACTTTCGAGAACACCAGGGCAGGATATCAGGCACGATCGCAAACTCTCTAACCAAAGAATATGAGGCAGGTGGCACTCTGGGTAGCAGGTATACATACTCTCTCAACCAAAAAAAAAAACTCACATCCTAATTATGTAATATGCACAACGGGCAGCAGTTTATGTGTGTGCCAAAGGAGATCAAGCACCGCTATATGTGAACTCACTTAATTATTTACATTTGTAGCATACAGATGAATTGAGGTGATTCAATCTAAATAGATATGATTATATAAACACCTCAAAAGTCCTGAGCATCAGACACAGCTAAAACTAGATCTGAGTGGCATAGACCAGAATCACATATCCTGGGATTTAAAATTAAACCAGTTGGGAGAGTTAAAAGAAAAAGATACATTAAATCCTGCTGCCCAAGAGGAACATCAAAAATAACAAGATTTCTTTTCATTATTATTAAAAAAGCATAACTAGAACTATAAATTCACAAAGTTCAAAGACTGGAGACATCAAGCAGCTACTTCCATATGAAGAAAGTAAGAAACTTACGGTTCTGATACATAAACATCCACGGGCCTCATGCTTAATAGATGATTATTTCTTTGACATTTCTAAAAATCACTCTGCCCGGAAGTGTTAAGAAAAATCAATATGAGCACAGGAAGAGAAAATAAGAATACCAGCAACACTATTTAACATTTGGAGTAGGCAATGTTGTTGAAAAGATGGGAAGTAACCCACACCCCATCCCTTTAGATCAATTTGCATAAGATGTTGAACTTGGGATCGAGGTTCTCCGGTACGAGATTTCAAAGGAGAGATATTAAAACCACCACCTGCAAAAGTTAAATGACATACTGATGATTATATGGTGTCAACTGTAACTTAAAAACCTGTAAAATGAAGGTTCCAAAATCATTACAGCCAAACCCGTGAGGATTGAGCACACTATCACCCAATGGAACATAAAACACTCATGGTCCACTGGGGTCATGAAAATCCAATGAACCAGACAGTTGGCAGAGAGAGTGGTTCCCACCAGAACAAGACAACCAGTAGAGGGTCCCCTCTCTCCATAATCATCCATTTTATTGGAGGTTGATCAACGCAATGGAGAGTGCTTTTCAATATTTCATCAGATTCTAGTGGACTTCCCTTAGAGCAAATAACGAGCACATACTAATAAGCAACTAGACATACTCTCAATATGAGCGCGTACAAATCCTGGCTGCGGGCCACATCTTTCATGCACCCTTGACCGAAATAACACAACTGCACAAGAGTAAGTATACATAGCACGGGTATCTTAACAAAAAAGTAAAACTAACAATAACAATGATTTGTTTGAATAGTGAATAATAATAAAAATAAAAATCGTAAATTGTTATAAGGAACCATGAGAAGAACTAACCATAGCTTCCATCATCATTACGACGCCAATAACGTACATAGCATAGATCCCGCGGCCACACAAACCTACAACAGGAAGTATCAGTCCGAGAAAGCGAAAGCACTAGCGAATGCTAATTAATCCCATTCCTGAAAAGATTATGGACACAAAAAAGCAATTGAGAAACACAATATGCACTGAGAATGTGAACCGCGGGTAATTAACAAACTGCTTTCATGTGACCCACAAAACACAACGACACAGGAAAAGAATACAATACAATGGTACCTAAGAACTCCAGAGGACATCTCTCACTACCTCTGAACTCCAGAGGACATCTCTCACTCGTTCCTAACAATAGATGTGGGGAAGAGTAATAACTAGTCCAATATCCTCTTATGGTCTCAGGAGGTCCATTATGGTTAATCGCCACTGCCTGTCATAAGGGCAGATGGTGAATGCCCCTTGGAGTTAGTAAATTCCATTGTACTATGGTATACATTCCCATAGAAATAAACAAGTACCTTTACTCTGCCATAAATAGAATAAGGATATGCCTATCATCCTATCGGAAGGGAACTAGCAAGCATCACATGAATGAATGAAATGATAGAGAAGAATCCAAATATCAGAGGAAATGGATATTTATAGCAAACTGTTAGAGTTTAAACAATTCTTAACATTAGGATTGCTAACCTACTGCAAGATTCCTCAAGGACTTCCTTTGAGAGATAGTGGTGAATAATTTTCATTCATTAATGCTTTCCAGAAGGATGTTATAGCTATTTCATCCTTCCGCACTTTTTAACAGCAGTTTGCAATACAAGAGCAAGCCCACAAAAGTGAAGCACATGGTAACAATTACATAGCATTTAAACATAGGAAACTAAAGAAGAATCTAACAGCTCAATAATAAAAAATGAAAGAAATAATAAAAAAGAGAAAACAAGAAAAATGATATCTTCAAAGAAAATCTTACATTCGAAACCAGTCCAGTTGAAGCCTGTGATAAAGAATGGCAGTATGCCCATCTACCTCCTCCACTAAACTTCCATATTGGAAGCTGCAGTCCCACCTACAAATCAAAGAAAGAATAGTTTACTTCAACATAGCAAATGGTCAGATAGCATAGTGTCACGGATCACGACACTAGTTGCTACACTTTCATGCAAACTACTAATAATTATGAATCAAATCAAATATGTGTTACTGTTCACCTAGTATATACAAATTGTATCATTATCAATACTACACAATATGTGGGTAAGTGATTCACAACCCATGCCTACCTAGACCCCTTCTGTGTAAATGCAAAAAGAAGAACAACAATCTCTTTGATACAAGACATCACCAGACTTCTTTAAATTAAAGGCAATAGAATAGCGATAGAAATCAGACTTGACTCATTTTTTCTCAGAAGACAATTATCATCAGGTGATTTACAACACAAGGGCCACATTTGCTTGGTTGTAGCCATGCAAAACAGGTGCTGTGTACAAGTACACAAATACACATTCCTTCAATAAAAGCAATTAGTTCTCACTTCTCTGCTGCAAGATAGTAAAATAGAGGACTTACTCAAACCGTGTCTCATCCATGCCCATCACAAGCTCAAATATTGCTTCACATGTTGCATCCACCACTCCTACAGCCTTCATTGCTCTACTACAGCTTCTCGGCTGCACACAACATGCACTTTCATAGTCCACATGACTTGGAAAAAGAGAAGTCAGAATCTCCAAATTACAAGCTCCTTAATATTACTATTTGTGCAGAAGAAAGACAAACTTCTGCCACGTACAAGGTAATCAACTTCAAGCAGCTCCTCAAATATTCGCAACCCTGCATTTTAAAAGACGACAACATTAAAAATATTCCTTCTGCACCTTTAGCACCTCTAAAGAGTTGTTCCTACTTATTTTGGCAGCCCTCTCATCTCAACTATTATGATGCGATGTCATTAATATCCTCCACACATCCCTCCCTGCCTTCCCTCCCCCCACCCCCCCCTCCCAACAAAAAAAAAATAAACCCTCCTTTCCTCCCACTGCTTTTGTGAAAATTTGTACTCAAGTGCATGTGGGGAGTGAGAGAGAAAGAGGAGAGAGAGAGAGAGAAGCTCTGAGATACAAAAATTACCATTCTGGCACCGAACTAGACGCCAATGCTTCCTTGAGAAAACTTGATCACTGTTATTGTGATTAGACAACCCTGACTCAGACTCATGTGTCCAATCAAGAACTGACTCAGGAGGGCCTACCATCAAAATGATTAAGATCAATTTCAAAATAGATGACGTTCAAGCCTGCCTTCCAAACAATTCACAGACTACATGATGCTCAAGAAAGAAGGTAATAAGTAAGATATCAGAAAGCACCATTCCCTATAGTTGTTCTCCTGAGCAAAGTTGGATGACTCTCTTCTTCATCCTCCTGTGCACTGAACCTACAGGGATAATTAATAGGGTTCAGAATTTCAGATAATTGCTCCACCAGCAGTATAGTGTGACATGATATACACCAAGAGATTTGCTTTGTGCACTCGAAAAATTTGATGGTATGTAAATGCAACGGAATGTAACTGTACTATATTACAAAGAGTGCACAAAAGTGAAGTACCAATTCACTTAAAAATTTACACTCACAAAATTCAGGGCATTAATTGTACTATGAATGTGAATACAAACAAAAGAGATAACTTGTCGTTTAAACTGCTTAGTAATATGAACTGCCTAAAGGCCTTTATGAAACAGTTTAAAACACATGCACGTATTGAGATGTCAAGTAATGTCATTTGAATGGGTGTATATACGTCTGAAATGGGACTAGTTTACTTAGCAAAAAAGAAAATCATTCATGATGCACAGGGAGTCGTTAACTCCATATATGTTGAAGGATTGGGATGAACTTCAAAATATTCAAATTACTTGATCAGATTAAAAACTGTCAGAGGTTATCAACTCAAATGTGGGGACCAAAACTTGATGCGAACAGCTCCTTATCATTGTACAAGATGGAAAAGACAAGGTGCATGGTGTGCCCAACACACCACATGCCACCAAAAAAATTAAGGATGGTCTATGAATGAAGAGAAGACCTAAAGTGAGTTGACTGCATCCACAAAGTTAAGAACCTCTATCAAAGTTAAACACAACAGCTTCCCCAGGAAGTAATATCTACTCCAAATGTGGCTGTTGTCAAATACTTTACATACAGTTTCCCAACCACGAGTTAAGGTCCACTACTCCAATACTGTCCATATCTGGTCTTCTTCATGCCGCATGAAGAAACCCATCATGTAACCTTAACATTGTATCTGGAGACCAGATTGGCCTTAAATGAAGCATTTAGTCCTATCCCTTGATCTTATGTTCTAATATCATTAAATGTTCAAGATCTCTCCATAATAGAATACATTAACACACACAGACACATGAAACAAACAAACAAACATAAGAACCTGAATGCACCTATAGAATAAATGAAAAACAAACATTGCCTATATTGAAGTGATGACATGAATGACCCATGAAAAAAATAATAATAATAACAAAGAGTCGCACAAAATAATGGTGGGGAAATCCTCACTTTTGGCACCAAACATTCTAAATCTTCATAAATGCACTTTTATTTCAAGCTTTTAACAATTGTTGCACCAAGTGTTTCTTTCTTTCATCAATGCCAATTTCTTAAAATTTTACGATTGGAATTATTTCAAATAATTAGCACTAATTGGCTATTATTTACAAAACTATTTTGGTGGAACGCAATTTGTTCAAATAATTATATCATGCTTGAAATTTTAAAATTATTTGGAATAAAATATTCTGAAACAAAGAGATTCTAACCTTTGGCCAACTTGGAATTTTGTAAATAATTTGAACCTATTTAGAACTTCATACAAAGTTTCCTCAAATTCTTCGAAGAGTTCTACCATAGGGATATCATTCATAAAGCAATGAATGCCACTTTCATCGCCTTAGTCCCCAAGATGGAAGGAGCAGACGAATTAAAGGATTTTAGACCGATCAGTTTGGTAAATTCCTCATACAAGATACTGTCAAAAGTGCTGGCGACTCAGCTGAAGAAGTGCTACCCTTTGTAGTTTCTCTCTCACAAAGTGCCTTCATAAAGGATAGACAAATCCTTGATGCGATCATGGTCGCTCACGAATGCCTCATTCTAGACACTTACAGAAAAAATCAGGTCTTATATTCAAAATCGACTGGGAGAAGGCCTATGACCATGTCAACTGGTCACTTTTACGCGAGACCATGAGTAGAATGGGTTTCGGTGATAGGTAGCAGAGATGGATGAGGGGTTGTTACTCGAACCCCCACTTCTCCATTCTCATCAACAGGACTCCTAAGGGTTTCTTCCCCTCCTCTAGGGGTCTTCGACGAGGAGATCCCATTTCTCCCTTTCACTTCGCTATAGCAGCCGAAGTCTTTAGCCAATCACTATCAAGGTTGTACCAGGTGGGCCCACTGAATGGCTTAAAAAGCTGTGCTAGGGGCCCCTCGGTTTCCCATCTACAATATGCCAATGACACTCTAGTGTTCATTGACGCCAATCCTCAAGAAACCGAATGCTTCCATATGTTCCTCAGGTGCTTTGAGTTTGCCACAGGCTTTAAGGTCAACATGTCAAAGTCAACAATGATAGGGGTTGCCCTCACCTCTGAGGAGACCAGTGCCTTACTCCCAGGCTGGACGAGCAAAGTGGAAGACCTCCCAACTAACTACTTGGGGATTCCCCTAGGACTTGGGAAACCTAAAAAGACACAATGGTCAACCGTCATTGATAGAGTGGACCGTCGGCTTGCAGGTTCGAAAGGAAGGTTCCTTTCCTTCGCAGGTCGCACTACTCTAATCAAAGCCACTCTCTCCAATACCCCCATTTATCTCATGTCCCTCTTCCACATGCCGACAGCGGTAGCTAATAGACTAGAACAACTCATGAGGAACTTTCTTTGGACAGGAGAGTTCGAACAAAAACAATTCCACCTCGTTACCTGGGAAATGGTCTACCGACCGAAGACTCAGGGTGGACTTAGGATCCGTTCCCTGTGAAAGCAGAATATGGCTCTCCTGGGTAAATGGTCGTGGCGCTTGTCGAACTCTCCTAATCAGCTATGGTCACAAGTGCTCCGACAAAAATATAGAATCCCCCCTGAAATCTGGCTACTGGAGGGGAGGCCCCACAGCAGACCCTCGGGAGCTTGGAAATCGTTTCTTTCGGTTTTGTCCACCTTCAAACAATACATCAGATTCCTCCCGAGGTCTGGCAACAGGATTCGATTTTGGTCCGACCTATGGTTGGGCCACTCTCCTCTCAGGGATCGCTTTCCTTCTTTGTATTCGCTCACTACTAACCCGCTTGCCGGATCTCGAAAGAGCTACAGCTGACAGGTGATAGAAGAGTTTGGAACCCCTCTTTCAAACAGACTCTTTCTGACACCGAAATACTGGAGTTCATTTCCCTCTTAGCCTTGCTCAATGATTACTTTTTCCCACTCTCAGGACCGGACAGGATCATATGGACACCAAAACCATCTAGCTCCTTCTCGGTGGCCTCTTTCTACAGGAGTTTACTACCGTCTCACCCCTCTTCCCCCTCGGTAACGTTCAAGGTATGGTCATCAAGAGCGCCACCAAAAGTGCAAACTTTTAACGGGATCACTTGTAGAGGAAAAGCACTAACGATTGACCAACTCAAGCGAAGGGGCTTCGCTTTACCGAATCGTTGTGTTCTCTGTTTTAAAGAAGAAGAGAACCACCCCCACCTATTTATCCACTGCGATATTGCTCTTTACCAGTGGACCAAACTCCTCAACCTGTTTAGCCAGACCTAGGTCATACCAGCCTCCATCCCCGGGCTTTTATTCTTAGTAGACAGTCTTCTGTGGCCCAAATCTGGGAGGCTTCTATGGAAGGCAGTGACAGAGGCCATGATCTGGATTCTATGGAAAGAAAGGAACTCAAGAATCTTTAGAGGGGGTCCATTGCGATAATCCAGCCCTTTTCCATAAAATCCACACTCTCGTGACTTTTTGGGCCATCAATCACAAGGCCTTCATGCTCCTTCCTTCTTCTATCTTCCTTGCCAACTGGCAAGGATTACTTATGCTTCAGAACACTTGACCCCCACGCCATGGGACTGGTCCCCCCCTCCGTCGGGTGCAATTAAGTTCAACTTTGATGGCTGCTCGCTCGAAAATCCCGGCCCCTCTGGGGTACGGGGGTGTTCAGAGACTACCAAGGAAACACCCTGGTACAATTCTCAAGTCACATAGGTCATGCCAATTCACAACTAGCAGAATCTCTCGCCTTGCTTATAGGCATCAAACTCTTTGATCATGCGTGGGGTCAACCACTCCTGGTGGAAGGGGATGCACGCAATATAGTCTCTTGGGCTACGAGTCATGTTTCCCCCCATGGTACCTCACTACAAATTTTGACGAGATTTCTCACTTCTGTAGGGATATTCCCGTCTCATGGATGCATATCTAGCGGGAATCTAACGCACTGGCGGACCGTCTAGCTAAAGAGGGAGCCAACATGCAAGCCACAACTACTACCTAAGTCTGGAAGACTTTCCTAATCGTTTTTCCTCGTCTCTTCGGTCTTACTTATTAATGTAATACCTAGCTTGCCACTTTGTGGCCAAAGCCCTTGTAAATGACCCCAATCCATCGATGTTAAGCCTGTGGTTAGTGTCTTGCTGGAGCACTCTTTGTACTACACCTATCCACAGAGGTTTACTATACGCCCTCCGAAAGGACATACCCGAGCGTCCTCTATTATCACTATATGTACTCCATTTCTTTTAATACAATGTTAACTTCAAAAAAAAAAAAATTTCATACAAAGTTTACACGTGGATGGAATTTAATAAAGGCTAAGGTCATTTAGACGAAATAAATATCTTCAAAAGGAAAACAAATCAAAGGGGCACTTGAAAAGTTTGGGAAGATTGGTTTTACATGGATACAACACATGTGACATGCACACACAATGCGAGGAGGGTCGTGAGAGACAGATTTAGATTTTTTTGAAGTCACAAGAGTAGTTACCCATGGAGACACAACTATTAAAATATAATGGAAAGGTTTGCATGCCCACTTATTTTGTTTTATGTGCCACTTTTAGTTAAAAGTTCAGTTAGTTAGGGAATCTTTTAAAATTAAATAGATTTGTTCCCTATTCAAGTGGGAGTTTGTTTTTTACCAAAATAAAAAAGATTATTTTTACTTCCTATAGATTTGGTAAAGATATTAGGAAGATCTAGATAATAATAAAAGTGGTCACAATTCTAATTTAAATAGAAATTGAACTTGGGTCAAATTATGAGGGGATAAGGTTCCTAAGATCCTACCCAAAATCATGATGTGGGATGGACGGCTCAAATTTAATCTCTCGCCCCACAGATTTCCAATATCCTAAT